TGTCACATTGACCTTTTAAAACATGTACTTGTATAAAATAGTGAGTAATTTAAAACTTTTATAACATAAAAATGACTAATTTACATAAAAGACGTTTCCATTATTACAAAACCAATCAGAGCGTGCATATTTCACTTATTTATTTACATATAACTATTCAAAACATTTATAAAACTGTTCATAGCTTAAACAATATATTCTTTTGAAAACATGCCAACTAGAACTTTATATACTAAAATACATATTATTCACATCTTTTCTGATCTGACCTTTAGTAAGGAGAACTGACCTGTCTTGCTCCACTTTGCTCTCTACTCTTCTCGAAACCTACGTGTAAATCACTTACACGCTAAGTCAAAGACTTATTGAGGCAATAAACATATAAGGTAAATGGTAATTAATAATCAAACATAAACAATTACTACTATCATTTCATACAACTCATACTTTTACATGTAACAAATATATATACATACATATATGTCATTATCATTCATATCTCTTATCTCATGTTCATATGATCTCTTATGTCCATCTCATATATCTTATAAACTTATTATTATATCATCATTCCAATCAATTATACTCATTCACATATACCTTAATCTGTACTCATGTATATCATATAACATATACCATATATACTATCATAAAACACGTACACCCAGGCAACTATAATATCATCTTCATTTTTATTAATATTATCTATTTAATAGCCCATGATACACATGTGAGAACTAAAGATATGCGAGTACATAGAGGTTGTGCACTAATGCTGTCACCACAGCTCATATAATTGCACCGAAGTGCCCTATATAATTGCACCGGAGTGCCGCGTAGAATTACATCGTAGTGCCATATAATAATGTCCATAAGGACCACATATCATTCCTTAAGAATCATATACATATACTAGGGATCAAGTATGTGTCTCACCAGACTTCACACATGTTCCAAAGAATGCATATATGTCTAGAAGGACCACATATCATTCCTTAAGAATCATATACATATGCCAAGGATCAAGTATGTGTCTCACCAGACTTCACACATGTTCCAAAGAATACATATATGTCCCGAAGGACCACATAGACCCTCGACTCTTGGCACGCCAACTATACCCCTAGCTCTCATGACACATAACATGGGCATTATCTTTTATATCTTTTTTCGTATTCATGTAACCATATCATATATTCATATAAGCTCATGGTTTCATTCACATATACATGTAATCACGTAGTTCATGTCAATTCTCATATGAGTTCATATTCATATAAACATATGATTCACCTTCACGTATCACATATACTTTCTCTTTCATATAGCTCATAACATTTCTCATGTGTTCATATGATATGTAAATCATTGTCATCTCATCATGTTATCACATAAACATATAGTCTTACAATACATACAAAAACACCTCAATACCTATATTCACATATACCTATCATTTCATTATCCTTATTATTATTCTTATCATCACCATTAATCCCTTTTACTTACCATATTCATATCAATAACACATATACTCATGCACACATATAAATCATAACAAATACATACTTCTATGAATTCATGTTTTTCACTATTGGAAATAGACTTATCGCAAGTCTTATTTTCCCTTGAACCTCATATACTAGAGAATGTGCACTCACCTAGCTTTCTTTATCTTTCCCTCAATTGATCCTACTTGTCGATGGTTCCGGAACTCGATTAGGCTCAATATCTACATAAGCAAAATTTTCAAGACGAATATCAGATGCCTAAGTCTTGAAATTAACCTCTAATAGCCTAACAATTTAAGGGATTGATAGTTTAGTCTCTCTTCTTTCTTTCTTTTTTTGGGGGAATCGGTTCCCCCCTGGGGGTATCGATTCCCCTCTAGCATTCTGGAAATTCATATTCGTTTGAGGGGGGATCGATTCCCCTAGCCCAGAAATCCCATTTTGAGCTCGAAAATCACCTTATTTCAGCTCAAACCTTCCTCTTTCACTCCTTTTAATATTCCTAACTTTAATACACATACTTAAACTCATTTCTACTCTATAATCACTTCTTTAAACTCCAAATCTAGTCATTCCTATGTAATTGCAAAAATTATACTAGTTTTGCAACATGTTCAAATTCCTATTCTAACACTTCCTATCCCTTAATTAACTTGATGACAAGTCAAATCTCACTTCCAATTCTTATTATGAACTATAATCTAAGATTTCACTTTTCTACTTCATTTCTTTAATCTCTTCTAACCTCTTCATCTTTGAGTTTTCACTTATCTTTAGACTTCTTTAAGCTTTCTTACTTTCCAAAGAATCAAAACCAACTTAGAATTCAAATAATAATCAACTAATAAAAATTCTCACCTTTGCTCTTGACTTCCACACTTGAAGAAGAAAGGAGAAGAAGAAAACTCTGGACACTCATTTCCCTCATTTCCCTAAACCCTAAACCCTAAAAGAGAAATTAAAAAAAATCTTCTCTTAGAAAAGACCATAATACCCTTATTACTTTCAAATTTTACTATTAAATCCAACCTCAAAATTCTCCAATTAAAATTCTAAACTTTTAACTTATTTCGAAATTGAACACAATGCTTTCAAAATTCACCTTTGGGTCATATTCATATTCATATTCATATTCATATTCATATTCATATTCATATTCATATTCATATTCATATTCATATTCATATTCATATTCATATTCATATTCATATTCATATTCATATTCATATTCATATTCATATTCATATTCATATTCATATTCATATTCATATTCATATTCATATTCATATTCATATTCATATTCATATTCATATTCATATTCATTCATATTCATATTCATATTCATATTCATATTCATATTCATATTCATATTCATATTCATATTCATATTCATATTCATATTCATATTCATATTCATATTCATATTCATATTCATATTCATATTCATATTCATATTCATATTCATATTCATATTCATATTCATATTCATATTCATATTCATATTCATATTCATATTCATATTCATATTCATTCATATTCATATTCATATTCATATTCATATTCATATTCATATTCATATTCATATTCATATTCATATTCATATTCATATTCATATTCATATTCATATTCATATTCATATTCATATTCATATTCATATTCATATTCATATTCATATTCATATTCATATTCATATTCATATTCATATTCATATTCATATTCATATTCATATTCATATTCATATTCATATTCATATTCATATTCATATTCATATTCATATTCATATTCATATTTCATATTCATATTCATATTCATATTCATATTCATATTCATATTCATATTCATATTCATATTCATATTCATATTCATATTCATATTCATATTCATATTCATATTCATATTCATATTCATATTCATATTCATATTCATATTCATATTCATATTCATATTCATATTCATATTCATATTCATATCATATTCATATTCATATTCATATTCATATTCATATTCATATTCATATTCATATTCATATTCATATTCATATTCATATTCATATTCATATTCATATTCATATTCATATTCATATTCATATTCATATTCATATTCATATTCATATTCATATTCATATTCATATTCATATTCATATTCATATTCATATTCATATTCATATTCATATTCATATTCATATTCATATTCATATTCATATTCATATTCATATTCATATTCATATTCATATCATATTCATATTCATATTCATATTCATATTCATATTCATATTCATATTCATATTCATATTCATATTCATTCATATTCATATTCATATTCATATTCATATTCATATTCATATTCATATTCATATTCATATTCATATTCATATTCATATTCATATTCATATTCATATTCATATTCATATTCATATTCATATTCATATTCATTCATATCATATTCATATTCATATTCATATTCATATTCATATTCATATTCATATTCATATTCATATTCATATTCATATTCATATTCATATTCATATTCATATTCATATTCATATTCATATTCATATTCATATGAAAAGTGAAAGTATTGAACATGAAATGTGAAATTATGGATTATGAAATTTGAATATGTGATCAACTGGAAATTTATATTTATTGATTTATGTGATTTGATTTTCATGATTTTTTATAAAATCATGAGATATTGATTTTTTCTAGGTTTAATGATGTAGAAAGCGGCTTATTTAAGTCTGTTTGGAAATTCAATTATTTTATTGAATAAATTATACTATTTTGAAATAATATGTTATTTTATATTTTTATCTCAGCTCGTTTATGTATAATGTCTCACTAAGTTATACATAGCGTGTGATAATTTTCACACGTATGTAAATAAAAGGATAAGGACGTGAAATGAGGTGCACCGTGTGCATCTCTTCTTGAGAAATCATATCGACTTACAGTATCAGTAAGACATCATTGATATTATTTTGGTTTGCTAGTGGCATGTATATTATGAATGTTCTAGTTACTCTGATAAATCTGCTTTAATATGATTGGTAATAGATATAAGTACTAGTACAAATTAATAGTATTTTATATTATTATGTTTTAAAAGTTAACTGGTTAATTTTTAAATTAAGAAGTGATTTGACAGTTCTATATATGTTATGAAACAACCTCCAATGCTTAGTTACAAGCTAAAATCGGATTTAAATCAGACGATAAAATATTAATTTATGTTTTCGTGAATAATTATATTGGTTTTAATTTATAAAATTCAAATTTTAAAATGAGATAAAATTGCACAGATTTTGAGTATGTAATATTATAAAAAAGTCAGTATGACATCAGTATGACATCTTTAACTCGTATTTAAGTACGTATACGAGTTAAGAGTGTTAAAAAACAAAGTAATTCAATATGTAATTGACTAAACCATAAGAGGAAAGGGAAATAAATCTATAAATGATTAACTTCATAAAATCTGAGCATATCCTCATTTAGAGGATGAAACAATGCTGGATTTGACTGTAACACAGAAGAAATGAACAATTGAATAATATACAGAAGATGTTTATGCAACCTGGCAAAGTATATTCCTCTGGGTTGATGCGTGTCAGAATAATGTTTTCTTTTGTAATCGAATAAGCGGTCGAATAATAGGTTGGTGACTATCAGATAAGGCTGAAACAACCTCAAACTTAATCTTAATCACCTTCTCGTTTTCAAAAAACGGATCATTTTCTGCATATTATTTTAATATGGCTTTATCGTCTTAATAATGCTTAATCTCTATAATAATACCTGCAGCACGTTGTGGATCAACCTCAGTGTTTATCTTTCGTTGCAAAACATCTATTTGATCCTCAAAATAGCGCATTCTGTTTGCAACAACGAGAGTTTCATCCAGATCAAATACAATTCCTAGACATCTTAGGTTTAGCATGAAAATACAAGAATCATATAGTCCCCTTGCGACATTTAAAGCGTAGAAACATGGTCTATAGCTATTCATCTGACAACAAAATGAAGTAACAAAAATATCATAAAAGTTTTCAGTTGGAAAATTGTTGGAAATTATTCAAGTTCATCCACATAGTCCAAACTCTGCTAACAATAACAGGTTAACAGATACAATACAAAACAAATTCCATAAATATCTAAAGGTGTATTTATAGGTCTCTCATCATAAGGTACCCATCTTAGTAAATTCATGGATAAGGCTTTAAAACAGCTTAGCTCAAGTTTTCTGGGCAGAATGAAGTTGAGAAAATCCTTTCTTTTCTTTTTTTTTTGTAAGAAATGAATGTCTCATTAAAAAAACCCTTCATATTTATTGATATACTAAACGGTACAGCTTAGCTAAGTACAGATGCCGAGCAACAAACCAGAACTCCCTAAAACTCTAAAACAGAAGATAACAAGACCATGGAAATATAAAGATCAGCCAACCCCTAATTTTAGCTAAATTATTGACAAACGTCGTTTTACTGTCAAATAATTTCCTTAATCTCAAAAGAAGTAAATAAAAATAGTAGTAAGGAAAGTAAGGGTCGATCCACAGGGACTAGGGAAGATTCTGAATTGGTTGTTCTTGATCTTTGAACTAGACGAATAATAACAAATAAAAGTAAAAAAGGGTGAAAGATTATAAAGAAATTAAAAGAAAATGATTAAAAATTCAAGATGAGTAAAAACAACCTCATGCTTTCATTTTGCATCAAATTCCAATTGATCATTGAATAGGGTTTTCTTCTGGTTAAATGCCGATTTGAGTCCGCAAGGTTCAATCCTTGTATCTCATTTCCTCTTTGGTGTCCTTGTTCGGATTAACTTCAACTATCGTTGTCAACTCAAAATGGTTTAAAAGTGCTTGGAAAAAACCCGAATCGAATTATGCTTTCTCTATGAAAGTTGAACTCGATCCCAATTTCCCTTAGCGTGCCATCGCTAAGTGTGTTCAAGGGAATTTGAATCAATTGATTCTATAATCCCAATGTTAAACCATAACAACATCCAAGCTAAAATCTATTTTAGAAGTGAAAATGTTTTGATTTGAAGAAAGACCAATCGCCAATCTAGTTTCCAGAAAATTGAGAATTTAACTCGAAAGGGTATGAGGTGCTTTTCAATTCTCACGTTAGGAATTAAGTAATCATTTCAGCCTTTGGCTATGAAAAATTTAGCTAAGTATGATAGAAATCATACTAAGCTTTTTAAAAGAAATCCTTTAAAGAAAAATAAAAGAAAGAAAAGTAGAAGAAAAAATAAAACTTTATAAAAAACTAAAGAAAGAAACAAGAGAATTCGAGGAATGAATGATTGAGTGATCTCAATGATGATGTGAGGCTTACCCCAATGGGGTATTTATAGTCCTCAAAAACCTAGAAATTAGATTCAAAATCAAAAGATAATTCCTAAAGATAATTTCTAAAATTCAAAATAAATAAATTCTAATTTAAATTTAAAAATTACGGCTGAGCTTCTCATTTCCACTAGGCTGCTGACTAGACTTTCTATTAATGTCTGACTGAACATCATGTCAAACGCGTCATTCCCCAAGTCATACTCACTAATCCATTCATAACTCCATAAAATCAAAAATTGTAAAATTTGATCAGTTTTAGCAATTTTTCTATAATCTATTGTTCTGCATTAAAAATGAACGAAAAGGCCCAAATTAACAACTTAAAATATCTAATAAATGAGTAATTACAAACAAAATAATGAATAAATTAAGAACTAATCAATTATCCGCCTGTCAATTAGCAGTTATCTGGATGTGTTGAAGCACCATATTTCGCTCTATCACTATAGAGACATTCTCCCTCACTATAGGCTCAAAAATGCGGGACAAGAAGCAGGATTTTTTATCCACTCTAAAACGTTCAAAGAATCACTTTTTAAAATCAAATGCCCCTTTGTCCCCCACTCTGACTTTGGTAATCCCCGCCCCGATTACCCGATTACCTGCCCCGATTACCCGCCCCGATACCCGACCCGATAAATATTAAAAATAATTATTTATATATATATATATAATATTAATAAATTTAATTTAAATAAAAAATATATATTTAATTTAAATATATATATATACCTGGCCCGATTCCCGGCCCAATACCGACCCAATACCCGGCCCAATACCCATTTAAATAACTGTTTATGCTAAACGGGGATACCCGTTTCCCCACGGTTTTCCCCGATTACCCGACGGGGATCCCCGTTTAAATCCCTGCAGTTTTTTAAACGGGGACGGGTACCGGTTTTTTAAACGGGGACGGGGACGGGGGGACCAATACCCGGCCCGAACCCGGCCCGTTACCATCCCTAGTAATATCTGAAGTTTAAGACAAATGATCTTAGAATAATCTATGTTTGTGTAAGTGTAATACCCCAAAAATGTAGACAATGACCAAAATGAAAATTTTGAAAGTTTGATGGTCAAAGTAAAAAATTGGGAAAAAGTTTAGGGAATTAAGTGATAATTTCCTAAAAAGAATTTTATTCCATGAATAGATGGTTTACTCTTGAGAGTGGAGTTTTATGAAAATCATATTTTTGGAATTTGAATTTTAGTAAAGAAAAATTAGAAATGGTTAAATTCGGTAAGGAATCGATAATTTCAGATCGAATGGGAACTTTACAAAAATTTGAAGGATGTTATAAAATGGTTGGAAATATTATTTTAATATTTTGGAGCAGAGAAATTTGGTTTGGAAAGGTGCAATTTTTCAGATTTAACAGAAACAGTGGAATTTAGTGACTAAAATGCAAGTTTTGAAAATTCATGGGCAATTTCGTGAGTCAAAGTTAAAATAATTCATCTTTGACTTTGAAAGATATTATGGATCAGGTGGCTTGGTTTTATGGTGAATATGGAAATTCATTAATGGCAAAAATGGAATTTCCTATTGAATGAAATAAAAAAATGCCATCATAATATATATTGCCATGTGATAGATTTATTTATCATTAAATATCAATCATGGATGAGCATTTCCAGCTTCTTCTTCCTCCAAGGGCCGGTACTTTCAAGCAAGAAAGGTAAACATTTTTAGTTTCAATTTTGAAGCTATTTATTGAGAATCTGACTCAGTGTAGTTACGAAAAATATTCTACTTTCAATTCTCTACATTTTGACATGAATATTACTAGGATTCATGTTCAAGTTCATCTTGAGTTGATGAAGGGGATGTTGATTCTTGTGTTTTATAGGTTTTGAAGAGTTAAGTGATTTTAAAGAATTGGTTGCAAGAATTGATGAATAACTTAAGAATGAAGTTAAGGAAAACAGTTTGGATTTTGAATTTGACAGTAGGTTTGAAAATTCACCAGAAATTATATAAAAATAATTTCGAGGTTATTTTTATATATTTGTGTTCATATATCGATCTAGTTTCGTTTAAAACGATGATCAATTTCAAGGTGTATACAAAAAGATATGGATTTTTAACCAAGGAAAGGTTAGAAAAATCGGACAGCAGATTCTGTAAAACAGATTATGTTGGTCAATTTTGAAAATTCACCATAAATTATAAAGAATGAATTAGAAGGATTTCTTTATATGAATAGATTCATATTCAAATCTAGTTTTCAATGGAAGAAACGGAATTGAATTCCATTATGTATATCAATACAGAATATTGATTCTTTAAAGGTAGTGCGAGTTGTCTAAATTCTGGAAAATTGATGGGTTGTTGTGTAAGTGTTATATAATTGATGTACCATGCTGGAAATTGTTGTTTTGGAATTGAAATGAGTGTTAAATGTGAAATATTATTATTTTGGAAGTTTAAAAAGGTTTGTGATTTAAGTACAACATTTGAATAGTTGGGGTACTTAAATGTAATTATGCTTTTGTAAAAGCATTTGAATGGAAATAATTTCAATGCTGGAATTATTGGTATTAAGAATTTAAGAGGTAAAATGGTGAAGGACCATTTTGTGTAATTGGAAAAGTTGGTTCCAATGTTAAAAGGAATTATTAAGTATTGAGTATTTTGATAGAAAATGAGTTTCAAGTATATTATGGATTTATTTTGGGATATGTATATATTAGTACAATATTAACATATGTATTATTATGAATTTGTCATTTATACAGATCATGATTGATTTGTGATTGAAGCAAGTCAAGTATAAAAGGATTTATTGTGGAACATAGTGAGGCACATTTTTGGAAAAATTATAAAGTGTCAAGGTGAGTGCAATACATGCATGAAATTATACATGGATGTTTTATACATCATAAGGAAAACTTACGATAAGTCGACCTTGTTTATATCAGCATGATATTATGTCATTTTTATAAATTGACATGACATTGAGATGTCACTGTATGAAATTATAATGCATTGATTATGGAAAATGTGATATTTTACCATGAATGTTTTTGGGTATGAACTGCCCCATTGTTAAATTATGATAATATACTTTGCCATGGATGGATCAAATAAAATTGACTATTTGCCCAAGTATGTTATTAAGGATCAGTGGTATTAATGGCATGCTATAGAGTTTAGCAGCTGCAATATTAGGTAATACTAGAGTGTCTAGAGAAGACACATAGTGCAGGCCTCAAAGTGTCTAGCGAAGACACGGTACAAGCACTACGGTGCATTATTAGGTGAACAAAGCTCGACCTCAGCACTTCGGTGCAATATTTGACTCCTATATTGGGTTCCTCATACAGTTATACTATGGGCTATGAGTTATGGTTTATTGGTTAATAAATGGTAAGTATGCAAATAAGCTTACGAGCTTATGAATAATGGCAAGTATATTGATAAAATAAGCTTACGAGCTTATGGAATTTAAATGGTAAGTATTTTGGTAAAATAAGCTTACGAGCTTATGGTATAAGTGGTAAGAGATTTTATATTATTTTGATCATGGTAAAATATTAGATATGTTAGTAAAATGATTTTATGGAAATTTGATTTTTGATATTGAAAATCATGCATGAATTGTATTGCACTGTTAAATGTTTTAATTGCCTCACTAAGTATATACTTAGCGCGTGATGATTTTCACGCGTAGGTAAAAAGCTAGTAATGGAATAAAAAGTTCAAAGTGAATCAAACATCGAGGAGTATATTGCAATATCAGTAAGATATCCTATGATGGAATATGATTTAGATAGTGGCATGTAATTTTAAAATGTTAAATTTATTTTGTTTAATAAATTTTGGAAATTTTATAGTGATGGAAGGTTAATTTTTATGAGTTTTATATGTAATTTTCGGAAGTTACTGTAGCAGTTACTGTAGCAATAAACAGTAACCACGTTTTAAGAAAAAAAAATCTAGATTACATTTAGGGTACCGATACCCTACTACAGGTATCGATACCCCACTGTTCACGGTTCACGGGTACTGTTCACTATTCTTAAAAAAATCTTTTGAAATAAATTTGTTACAACGAAACATGATTTATATGATATGAGATTTTTTATAATATCAATAACCATTTTAAGAAAATAAATTCTTAAATCGATTTTGGATATTAAATGGTTTTCGAAATTCGGATAACATCCATAATCTGTGTATGTATAATTATACGGGCTATGGGTGTTACAGTAAGACTGGGTGTCCATGGATGATTTGGGCATTAAGATTGATTGAATCTCAAAGATGAGACTAACACAACTTGTTAGATTAAGACACATGTTGGAGAGAATAAATGTGTTAGAGATTGGAATAATAAAAATTGTACCTATAAGTGGTTGGATAAAAAATATCTGGAGAAATTTAGGGTTGATCCTAAATATTCTGCTAGTTCCTTAAGATAGGATGTAGAAAATGATCACATCATTGATGTACCAGCATCAAAATGTAGTAGAGTAAAAAAAGATGCTTTGAATGTTATTAATGGGGATTACCTTGCTGAATTGAGAGGAACAAACCCTGAGATGTGATTGATAATTGGAAGTTTGGTGAGTAAAATAAAATAGAGAGCAAAGTTCAATGACTAACCGTGTAATTTACCTTAATGATAATCATAATATTTATTATTAAACCATTATATAAATTTTAATGCAAACTGTGAATGCGTCATTGCCATTGTTGTTGTGGTGGTGGGGACTGGAGATGAGGGGCTAAACATAAAATTTTCTCCTTTTACACCGTTATTCGGATACGTGCTTGGGAAAACCACATAATGGAAGGAGGAAGTCAGAGGAGGGACATGATTGAATAATTGGAAAACGTTTATGGGACTTGAATTGATAATTATGAAAATCTTGGATTGGGTTAAATCTGTTAGATAACCGCTTTATATGGATGGTGTTGACATTTTTATAGATTCGTTTCTCGTGTGGTGCTCTTTGACCGATTCTGTTAGGTTAAATTTATGTGATTTTTGTTGGCTTCTACCAATTTTCTTATTTTTTGTAACGAGTTGCTCCTTAAAATATTTTTCCTGTAACTTTTTTTTGAAAGAAGAGGACAATATATCAATTGATAATTTGATTCTTCGATCGTCTTTGAAGCATCCATAGTACATCCAACATGTTTCTCAATTCTTTGATGGGTTGAACAACTCCTATCTATGTAAAGAAGAAGAAGAAGAAGAATAAATGATTTTAAGATATTATATTTGATTGAGTTTTTATCAGACATGCCAATAATGGAAGATTTTGTATGTGAACAAGTTAATGAGTTGTTCATGTCAATTTTGGCATCAAATGAGAGGGAATAAATGAAGTGTTACATCTGGTGGGTTTTTTCTTTACCAAAAATCATGTGGAAATGGAGTTTATGATCTTTGATTCTTGACACCAGAAAATGACCATTAGAAGAAAGTATATCATGAAAATAATTTTGCAGACAAAGTTACTAAGTTACTTAGTCTGCTAGGATCACTCTTCATGTTCCTATACATCTGGTTAAAGAAAAAAAAAACAAACAAAAGACCTATGTGAACAAAATGATCAAAAGTAGACGATAAACAAAAGTGATAAACACTATGGAGAACCTGAAGATGGCTTTTCACATGAGAAATGGTGAGTCCTTTCACATCCATGAGTTGAAGAACGAGTTTCGGTATAGCTTCTGTAAAAAAAAAAGGAAAAACCCCTATTATTTTAAAACTGAAGAACAACATGAAGAAGAAGCAAAAGAAACTTATTGTCTTGACTGCCAGAAGTTGTAGAGTGAAAAGAAAAAAAAGGTGTTTTTTTTTGGATAATTCATTCTTTTTATTACCCAAAGAGCAAGAACTGCTACAAAAATCTGAGTTCAGATTACAAGGATTATTCAACATACAAAAAATATCAGCAACCAAATAATACCCTAATTGTTACAAAGAGTAATATTTACACTATATAATCTATTAAGGCTCCTACCCCTTAATTGAAAACTAACAATTTTCTTAATGGAATGAATCAGATCTTCAATGTTTCTGGATCGTTCTTGGAAAATCCTTTTGTTTCTTTCTTCCCATAGGGTGTAAATATGGGCATTGGAAGAAATCTTTAAAATATAAATGAGAAGAGATTTATCCTTCCAATAAGCAGTAGCCCAAGCAAGAAAATCATTCCATGAAAAAAGATGGTTTCGCAAACCATTAAGAGAAAAAATAGCAGCCCATAAAGAAACAACAATATGATATTCAAAGAATAGATGGTTCCTTGTTTCCATGGCAGCACCACAGAAAACACATTGGCAGTCATTAATAAGTCTCATGCATTTCAACCTTTCTCTTGTAGGTAGCCTATCGAGGAAAACCATCCAAGTAATTAAGTTGTGTTTGGGGATGTGAAGAGGAAACCATAGCAGTTTATTCCATGAGACTTTGGGATTCTTGACCCTGATAACATTCCAGATTTCTTTAACTTTTTTCATTGCAGGCAGCATAACAGAATTAGCTTCTGGTCTCATCTTCAATATTTGTCTTAAGTTCCAGCTCATGGAAGGCTTAATCTCAATATTCCAAAAGTCATAAACATTGAAAACATAACTTCTAAGCCAGGCCACCCATAAAGATCCTTCAACTACCAGTATGTTTTTTATAAGAATCATTATACATGCCTTGTTCCAGGTTCTTAAGTCTTTAATGCCAAAGCTCCCTTCAGATTTTAGAAGACATATTTTCTGCCATTTCACCCTTGCACCAGCTGATGTTTTGTAAGCCCCTTTCCAGAAAAACCTTGGACAGAGATGTTCAATCTTTTTAATAACAGAGGAAGGAAGGATTAATTGCCTACACCAATAGTTAGCAATGCTAAATAACACTGCTCGGACTAATTCCAATCTGCCAGCATAGCTCAGTGATCTAGCAGAACAGAAGTGAAATCTAGCTTTAATATTATCAATGAGAGAAGTGCAATCTTTTTTAGAAATCTTCCTAGTGACCAAGGGAATACCTAAGTAGCGAACAAGAAGTCTGCTAAGCTTAAAACCAGTGATCTGTTTAATTTTCTCAAGTTCAGCATAGGGGATTCCAGCAGCAAAAAGATCATATTTAGAGGCATTAAGACTTAATCCAGACATTTCATAAAAAAGATCAAGGACAGTAGTAACACCAATAACAAAATCCACAGACCCTTTACAAAATATTAAAAGGTCATCTGCAAAAGAAAGATGGGTAAGAGCAATTCTTTTGCATTTTGGATGGTATCTAAATGTACCTCTAGAAGTAGCCATATTGAGAAGTCTTGATAGAATATTCATAGAGAGGAAAAAAAGAAATGGAGAGAGAGGGTCCCCTTGCCTAACACCTCTTGCACCTTTGAAATGACCAATCAAGCTCCCATTGAAAGAGATAGAGTAGCTTTCAATTGAAAAACAAATTTTAATCCAGTTAATGAAGACAGGAGGAAGACCTAGAGCCTTTAAAATAGCAGTGATAAAAACTCAATTTAGAGAATCAAAGGCTTTGTGAAGATCAATTTTCAAAGAGCATCTAAGAGAGATACAATTTCTGTTGTAGCCTTTAACAAGTTCCTGAGCCAAAAGTGTATTGTCAACAATATTCATGCCTTTAATAAAAGCAGTTTGTTTAAGAGTGATAATGTCAGGAATAAGTCTTGTAAGTCTGCTGACCAGGATCTTAGAAATTGCTTTGTAACATGAAATAGGTATGAGTCTTTGACCTTACTATGATTTGGAATTTTAGGTACCAATGCAGTAGCAGTGGCATTAAAACCAGGAAGCAAGAAAGAATCCTGGAAGAACAGTTTTATGGAAGCAATAGTATCTTCAGCAATAATAGGCCAGGACTTTTTGAAGAATAGAGGAGAGAACCCATCAGGACCAGGGGCTTTGTCATTCACTTTGCTAAAGAAAGCTTCTTTAATTTCCTATTTTGAAACATTCTTTATAGGTTCAGTAGTGGAGTCAGTAGGTAAGGATGACTGAAGAAGGTCTTTTAAAAGATGAGGATCAAGAGGTTTAACATCAAGATCAGGGGAACCAATCAGATTAGAGAATAAGTTTATAATTTTAGAGGACATTTCTTTAAAAGTCTTTAATCTATTCCCTTACTCATCCACCAGAATTCTGATGGTGTCCCTTTTCTTTTTAAAAGCAACAGCAGAGTGAAAAAACTTTGTGCATTTATCACCCTCCTTTAGCCATTGTACCTTGGCTTTTTGCTTTAAAACCATATTTTCAGCATCTTCAAGAGTCTTTAATTCTCTTTTTAATTGAAGTTCCTCTTCAAAAACAACCTCCCCTCTAAGAGTTTTAATTTTCTGCTGTTCTAATTCAGTTTTCTTCTTCTTTACCATGTCAGAAAGATCACTGTAGAAGGTCTAGTTAAGGTTCTTAAGATGAGGTTTCAGTCTCTTCAACTTATAAAAAAGGATTTGCATAGGGTTACCCACTGAAGAACGTTGCCAATAATTATTAACAACATTTAAGAAAATAGGGTCTTAGGTTAAGAATTTGAAGAATTTAAAGGGTTTAGGCCGATTAGCTTGGACCTCTTTGTAGAGACATAGGATAGCAAGATAGTGGTCAGAGGTGCCAGGGGGAAGAAATTCAACATGAGAAGAAGGTAAGGAAGTCACCCAATTTTGATTGACAAGCACTCTATCAAGTTTCTTAGTAATGTAGGTGTTTTGTTGTTTGTTACTCCAAGTAAAAGAAGGGCCAAAATAAGGGTGATCAATGAGGTCAAGGTCAATTAAAGTATCTTTGAAGTCTCTCATAGCAGAGGAAATATAAGGACCCAGCAGTTCAAAGTCATACATTTCATTAGAGTTAAGGATTACATTAAAATCACCCCCAATATCCAAGGATAATTACCAATTGTTCTTTCCAAGTCATGAAGTTGTTGCCACAGGATTCTTCTAATTCTGTCATCATTACTGCCATATACAACAGTAATGATAATTGGAAGGCCAAGATGAAGACCTTTAATAGTAATGCTTTGTTCAGAGACATGACTAACAGAAAACACTAAGTCTTTTCTCCATAAGATCCAAATTCTGCCATTGAAGGAAAAGTCATAGTTGGTGCAAACATTCCAGTTTCCAAATTTACTTGCAAAAATACTAGCAGACTTTTCAGATTTAACTCTAGTCTCTAACAGAACAAAAAACATCCAACTTATTTTGATTAGCTCTTCTAAGAACAATTTCTTGTTTGAGAGGACAGTTTAGTCCTCTAACATTCTAAAAGGCAATGATCATTGGGAAGAAATGTCTAGGTCCACTACCACCAACTTCAACATTGTTAGCTTTTCTAAGTTTGTCTTTCTTCTTTAGTTTAAGTTCTTTTACAATGCTAACTACTCCTAAGGATGTTGCTCTAATCTTTCTTTGATGGCCTTCAGAAGCAGCAGGAATAACATCAACAGTACTCAGGATTGCAAATCTATTTTTTGATCCAGAAATATCAATTTTAGTTTTGTTCTTTTTCTGGTCTTCCCCTACCCCTTTTAGGAACAGAACGCTTAGAAACATTTATCTCCTCAGGAAGAGAGTCAACAGATTCATAATTAGTAAGTTCTTTCTCTTCATTGGGGTTTTTCAATACTGCAAGTTCCTGTGTTACTTCAACAGAGTCATTAGGCCTATTGTTAATGTCTTCCACATAATTAGATACTTGCATTTTTTTTCCTGCAGAAACTCAATACAACCAACAACAGTTTCTGCTACTGTAATAGTAGAGTTATCTTCTTTCTTTTTCCAGACTTGTAATTTAACAAATGTAGAGTTTTTTAGCACATTACAGTTCTTGTCATAGTGACCAAATACATTGCATTTGCTGCAACGAGAAGTGAGCTAAGGCACTTCAACCACAACTGCAGTGGATTGCCCATCTTTAAAAATAACATCTACATATTTTGGGATAGCATCTTTAACTCCTAATTCAATGTAGATTTTTGCATACTCTAAGTGGGATTTAGCAGTAGTTACAGTGTCCATAGATAAAGAAATTCCTATGGCACTAGCAATATAGCTCAATCCAGCCCTTGAAAACAACTCGAGTGGAACATTGTAGAGGTGCACCCAGACAGTAATCTTAGAAAGATCAAAGTTAAGACGTTTCATGTTAGACTCCCATTTTCTAAGAATCAAGGGTTTATTAAAGATTTGCCATGGTCCATTCTCGAGGACCCAATCTCTAGCAGATTCAGATTGAAAAGAGAAAACATATAGATTATTGCCCGCGAAGCTAACCTGAACTTTGCCTCCTGCTAGAGCTTTCTTCCACATATTATCCACGATACGTTGCATAACAACAAAGTTTGGAGCAGCACCGAGAAATTGCCCTACAAGTGAGAGTTGCCATTCAGAGATTCCAACTTCAAACACCTCAGGAAGGGATGGACAATTGGGATCCCATCTCGAACCCTAGGGGTAGAAATCCAGATTATGCCCAGATGAACTCCCAAATAGTTTCCTTCAGTTCATCGCCAACACAAAAGAGAATAAAAAACCAGACAAGAACAGAAGGGCAAGACCATCGAGAAATCTTCGAGGAGAAGGGAAGAGGACATCGAAGACATGACGAAGATTTTCTGATTATCGTTAGCCCTGCTAACGTGCACCCAGAGAAAGGAAATGAGAAGGTTGGGCAGTGGAGGTAGGGGAAAGAGGGGTATTTTAGGGATATTGCTTATTTTATTTTTTATTTGATTTTCATTTATTTAAATAAAGAAAATAAAAAAATATGGGTTGATGTGCCATGTTTTGATAGGTCAACGTAATTTTTTTAACGATGTTAACGGTTTGAAGTAAATAGGGTAACGATTTAAAGTTAATGGGGTAAAACGTTCTGAAAAATACTTTAAGGGGCAACTTGATACAAAAGGCATAGTTTAGGGCGCAATGCTGCATTTAAGCATTAAATTTATTTTAAATTAAAAAGGTAAATTAAGTATTTCTTATATCTTTAATTATATATATTTATTGGTAGGTTTAAATTTTCTTTCTTTTTAATCTTTGTTTTGATTCAACTCAATTCTTCGATGACTATTAATTTTTATTATTAAATATTAATAAAAAAATATATTTCATCAGTTAAGTTTAAATATTTGAATAATTCTTCCATTTAATATTATATTTTAATTCTATTTTGATCATTCAACTGGTTTTTTTATAAAATTATCATTGATATTATATTTTAATTCTATTTTATCATTAATTATTAAAATTAATATAAATGGTGATGAAACTTGATATAATAATAAATTGAGTGTTATATATTTTATTGATTTAGTCTAAATTCTATTAATTTGATCACCATCTTAAATATTTGAGTAAAACTCAAAATTTCCTCTCTTTTCCTCTCTCCTTGTTCCTTTGTGACTTCTCTAATTCTAATTTTATTTGTCATTAAAATTTATTTATCAAAATTCTCTAATTTTTATAAACATTAATCACCCAATTCTCATTTCAAATTTCAACTATTAATCAATTCCATTCCAAAGTTATGAACTTTCCCATCCTAATCTAACAATTTATCTTAACCCTAAAGGAATCAAAAGAACAAAGATGAAAAAAAATTAAAAGGGGAAAAAGGAAGAGAAAGTTTCCATATTTGTTAATCTTTAGGCATGTAAATTTATTAAAAAATATATTGAAAAAATCAAACCCATGATTTATTTATTTGTTACAATTTAAAACAAGAATTATGAATCTATAAAAGAAGACAAAAGACCGAAACTAAGAGAAATTATTTTTAAAAAAAAATTATAAATTCTAAATTCTAAAATTAAAATTATCATTATATCTTGTTATATCACTATTTTTTGAATTTTAATAAAATTTAATGATGGATGTTTAAAATAAAATAAAAATAATATTAGGGACGATTTTATAAAAAGAAGATAAACAAACAATACAAAAAAATCCATGAATAAGTATCTATTATTTATTTGGTACATAAGTTTGCCACTTGTTATAAAAGTGATACCTATTCTTTTAATTAATTTGGTACGTGAATTTATCATTTTTATAAATTTGGTGGTTGTATTTTTATTTTCCAATTTGGTATCTACTTTTTTGATACTACACACCTGGTACTTATATTTGTCAAACAAGCGTATAATGTCTGAAAAATATAGGTACCAATTGGTAAAAAAGAAAATAAAGATACCAAATTTGTAAAGGTGATAAATTTAGATATTAAATATAGGTATTAAATTGATTAAAAATATAGATACCAAATGTAAAAAGTGTTAAACTTGGGTGCCAAATAGTATATTAAGCCTTTCATAAACAGGCCCAAATTTGCATTCAAAATTGGGTTAAAAAAGGTTTAAATATACAAAAGGTGCCCAACGTGCCGTTTTTCTAGTTCAATGCTTAACATTTTTTTTATTTCAGTTTGGTGTCTAACGTTTCATTCTGTTACTCAAAATGGGTCATACTGTGACGGACCGTCAGTTTTCTCTTTTAAATGACACGTGTCACAATCTGATAATTTTAAAAAATTTGTTTTTAAAAATAAATATTAAAAATATTATTATATTTGTAAAAAAAATACTCTTATTTCTTTTAAATTACAAAAAAGCCCAAATCCTAACACTGAAGCTTTCCCACAAAGGCGAACGGCGAGAACGACGACTACGGCGTGACCCACCGGTTGGGTTTTGAGCAGACGAGGACGAGGAAGCTAAATATGGTGGCGGTGAGGCGAACAGAGTTCCGAAGCGGCCGGAATCATCCAAAATCCGAGGCATCGGGGTGGGTTTTCGGCGAAACTTCAAGGGCTTGATTCCGGCGAACGGCGACGGATATGCACGAATTGTTTTGGGAGTTTTGAGATGACTGTGATGAAGAAGCTAACTATGGTTGCGGTGAGGCGAACGGAGGTCCAAGGCGGTCGGAATCGTCCAAAATCCAAGGCATCATATGGGTTTTTGACTAAACTTTAAGGGCTCGATTCCGACGAACGTCGATTGCTATCCACAAATTATTTTGGGGGCTTTGATCATGACAGCGAGGCACTTCGATTGGGCTAGGCGGTGACAGGTACGGACGAACGACGGCGGCGGTCGACGTGGGTTTAGTGGTTGAAATGAAAGTTTTTAATGGGTTTATTTCGAAATTAATGTGTTTTCTTTTCTTAAAATATATATAATTTTTAATTTTAATATGAATATTATCACAAACTTAAAATGGATGGATGAGAAACTATGTTACACATGTATGACAATTTAATGTCATTTTAAGTATTTAATATGTTTTTAAGATAAGTACGAGATGAATACAATTTGGATATATATTAAGGACGTCCCATATAAAACGACTATAATTAATTAGATATGTTATGA